AATGACGAGAAGAGAAAACTTGAGGCTGAGAAGAGCAAACCATTTAAGAGTCTCGAGAGATACAAGAGAATGATTGGCAAGTTGAACTATCTCATTATGACTCACCCAGACATCATTTATCTAGTCAGTGTGCTTAACCAGTTTATGGCATCTTCGACTATCAGATAGTGGGAAGCCTTAGAGCATGTTTTACATTACTTGAAGGGATGTGCAGGTCATGGTATACTATACAAAAATCATGGTCATACAAACATTGAGTGTTTTTGTGATGCAGATCATGGTGGATTAAAAGCCACGAGATTCATCTACTGCAGGATACTATGTCTTTGTGGGTGGAAATTTGGTGTCCCAGAGAAGCAAGAAGCAAACTATGGTATCTCGGTCAAGTGCAGAGGCAGAATACCGAGCTATGGCACAATCCGTATGTGAGGTAGTCTAGATATGCCAGTTACTGAAGGAAGTTGGTCTCAAAACCACATTACCTGTAAAACTGTGGTGTGATAATAAGGCTACTCTGCACATAGCATCCAACTCTGTGTTTCATGAACGTACAAAGCTTGAGATCAACTGTCACTTTGTCTGAGACATGCTCAAAGAAAACTTTATCTCTATCGGACATGTGAGGTATAGTGATCAATTAGGTGACCTATTTACTAAAGCTTAGACTCGGGTTGACTATCTTTGTAACAAGTTGTGCATGATTAACATCTATACTCCAACTTGAGAGGGAGTGTAAAGATATGAAAGGATATGTAAATATTATGCAATTAGTATAGGATTTGATATATTATTATTGCCTCATAATGAGCCATTAATGCTTAGGCTCCCTTCTCTTGTATATACATCCATAGTTTGATCATGAATAATATAAGGAATTATTTTACAATTCTCTCTAGAATTAACAATAAATATTTTAAATTTTAAATTAAATAATATAACTTCCCAATCTTATTAACCAATTATCTTTTTATTTATTCAATTTCAAAAATTTAAAAATATATTTAATTTCTCTCTCATACCTTCCTATTTTTATTTATTGGTTGCTTCTTCAATAATTTTAAATAGAAAAATAAGTATGAGCATTTTCTTATAGATGAGAAATGGCCTATTTTGTCATTTATTAGTTAATAGAATAGTTTTGAATTTCAAATTTTTATAATTGAAATATGTAAAATATTTAACTTTTAAAAAGCATTATATATACTCCTCCGGTCCTAAATGTAAGACCCTTATATACACACCAATATAGGGGTCTTATATTTAGGAACGAAGGAGTATTATCATCAGTCAAGTAATACTCCAACTTGACAAATATAATTGTCTAAAATATAACTGGCAACTTTAGAAACAATAAATTTATAATAATAATATTTACTTGGAAATTTAAAAAATAGAATAAGTGATGAGTGTCCCAAACGTGGCCTGACATTCTCGATAGTGGAGGAGGTTATGGTCGTCAGTCAGTTTACTGCAAGTAGGGAGGGAGTTGAGGATTCTATACCTTATGTGGGCAATCGTGAAAGGTGCGCATTTCATGTTTATGCTTTTCAAATTTTTCGAGCAATGGATTATGATGAGTCATGTTTGCCAATTTTCAAATGTTTCCCATGTTTGTGTTTGGTGGTTTAAAGTTGTGGCAAAAAGATAGTTCCTTTATCGTCTTCCTTTATTAGTTCTTCTTCTCGGTTCCTCTCTTCTTTCCATCTCCTTTGTTACTTACCTTCTTCTTGATGATATACCACCGTGGCTGAATTTCTTCCAACCGATCATTATGGAATCCCTACCATTCTATTCAAGTGAGTTTTGCATTTTGATATTCTAATTTGGGCCATTTTTTTTGTGGGGATATTGTTTTTTTATTTCATAATGTTTCATCTTATTTTATTCCCCCAATATTTTTAACGCCTCACAAATTTTGATAGGAGAGGGTAGGAAAAATCTGGACATTTATGCAGATGATCACTGTATATGATGTGGATTGAGAATTTCTCCTCAGCAAATATTTTGTAGGTACTCTTTTTTTTTTTTTTTTTTTGGGTTTTGCTGATGGAATCTTATGGTTTTTGGTGGAGGTGGAGGCGAAGGCGAAGGCTTATCCTTCCTTTTTCATTTTTCAATGTGGAATGGTAATTTAGAGGTAGTGTTCTATTGGTTGTTTTTGTTCTTCATAAAGCATGGCTTGTGAAATATTGTAAATGACATTGCACTCATAGTCTCATGCTGATTTCGACTTTTGTTATGACATGTCAAGAGACTTACATTGTGTTGATAAAATAGAGTTTCCTACTAAGGGTTGTTTCAAATTATGATATGACCATAGAAAGTCATCTTTTTTTCCTCCTTTTGTTCATGTTGCTACTATTACTCCGTACAGGTCAATTTGGTCAAATAAATACCATCATTGCCGTCGAAGGCGGCACTTAATGGATCATGTGACGTATATTATAAAGGTAACACTTCATCTATTTACACGTTGGAAGATGGCAGTAAAAGCTTTAATTTGTTGCCTTCTTTTCAGTTAAGAAAGTTTAGCCTTTCTTATTTGAGTTAATTAACAATGCTTCTTCTTTTTTCCCCTTGATATTTCATTATCATTGTGATTGAGGATGGCTCAATCACCTAGTGGGGTCGACAAGCCTATTTAGTTAAGCAGCATGGGATGCTATGCATCCTATAGAAGAAAATTCTCTTTGGACTAGTGACTAAGCTTGATGTTATTGTACATTGCAACCACTTTTAATTGATTGCTGTTTCATTTTTTTTTTTTGAATTTTCTTAACTTATTTAGCAAAATGTTTTTCTTGGAATATGATGGAGTACGGATTTGATTCCAAAACAGTTTGTTAACTGATCAAGCTCTTCATTACTAAACTATATATCATAGCTTTCCCAAGATGCTTTATTGTTATTAGATATGATAAAACTTATCTTCTTTTTTTTAACTCAATGTTTTATCTAGGTGGATCTGAGGATTAAGGGGCAAAAGTGACCCTGCAATTGGAAACCGAAGTTTCTTCAAAATGTCCATAATGAAGGTTGAACCTTGAATCCTCAGTAGAAGCTCGAGCTAAAAGATTTTATTGCTTATATTCGCTTTAAAGGCGGCCTTTTGGAACAAGTAATTGATCAAGTAGCTGTTGATATTTATCATATGTGATTATTGACTAAGAAATTAGCCTATGTAATTATTGAATCAAATATGTTGTTTCAACTCAATTTGTCTCCATTAATTTTTTGCATATCACATAGCAATATTGCTTTTGTCCTATGTAACTATCAACTATAAAATTATACTATGTAATTATTGAATCAAATATGTGAGTTTCAACTCACTATTTAATACAGAAGTGAAAGCCCCTGCTTCCTCTAGGAATCCTCTTTAAATATAAAAAATAACTATGTCAAATTTGTTGATGTTTAGTATGCACTAATTTTAATTTACCTAAATTTTCAAAAGAGGCCACTCTACCAAATAATGGATTTTATTTAAACAATGGATATAATGCTGAACAATAAAATGTTAATAATAATAAAGCTATATATATTGCATGCTTTGAAATGTTATGGATATTCAATTTTTTAAATTAACATGAAGTTATGATTTAAAACAGAATGTTATCTTCGACTAATTATTTTGTGGTAATTCAACTTTTTATATGATATAAAAAATCACGAATTCATACATATGCATTGTACGAGTACTAAAATAGTTATATAAAAGCAAAGACCAAAGCATGCTTATATCATGCCACGTGGCAGACTCTTCTAAAAAATAAATAGAATGAATTTTTAAATGCAAAAAAATTGAGATTCCGCGTTCCAAGTTTTTTGAAATTTTTTTATCGCAAGTAATTTTGAATATAGGCAATTTTTTGACCAAAGCATATTGATATCATGCGCAGGCTTTCCTCAAAGATAAATAGAAAAAAATTTTGTTCAAAATTAATTTTGAAATTTGGAAAAAGCCATTGATAATTAGGATGATTTTTTAAATGTAAAAAAAAAAAGATTGCGAGAAATTACTAATTACAAGAAAAATGCTTTGTAAAGAATATTATATTAAATGATTATAATTTGTATTAAATAAATAGTACTCCTCCGGTCCTTATTATAAGACCCAATTTGACTTTTTATTTGGTTCTAATTATAAGACCCAATCCATTTTGTCTCTTATATTTATGCATTTTTTTCCAAGATAATCCTTCTAATAATGATAGTTTTAGCCAATATACTTAATTAGCAAGGATATTTTAGGAATGACAACACTTATTTATTATAAATAACCAACTTAACTTACTTCCTTAATTTCCTCAAATAAGTCAATTGGGTTTTATAATTAGGACCGGAGGAGTAATATACCAGTTTTATAACTGCCCAGCGAATTTGGAAATATCTACACTAATTTATTTTAAATTAATGTTTTCCGTAACTGTCCATTCAATTTGTGCGTAAATTCAGCCATTGTTTTTGAAATTATGTGAACCCGCATTCACAATTTAATAAATAATACTCCTCCAATCCTTAATATAAGACCCATTTAACTAATTTGATTAGATTAAGGAAGTTAGGTAAATTAGTTAATTATAAGAAATATGACACGTTTTTCTTAAAATACCATAATCATATTTCTTAATACCACATCTTCCTCTTCTACTTGATTATGGTTGAAGAAGTATCCATAGGGGTAATTTAGAGAAAATTGATAAATATGAGAAATGGGTCTTATATTTAGGACCAAAACCAACTCATCAATTAGGTCCTATATTAAGGACCTGAGGAGTATATCCCTAATTCTATAACTGCCAACTGAATTTGAAAATATCTTTACTAATTAATTTTGTGAATATATTAGAAATTAAATTTTTGTGTTATGCGATGAGTTTTTCTTGTGCTGGAAATTTAAAATTCGAAAATTGGCCAGAAGAAAGGATTTTAATTTATTAACATATTTTAATTAAAATTATATAAACCATTAGCGGAATGTTGGTCGCTCCTCTTCATTGCTTTCTGAGATCGAGGGTATGCCTGAACCAAGAAGCTTCATTCGATTCCTCAAAACTTCTCCTGTGCTCACTGCTTAACATCGCGAGCAGAACTTCTTCGTCTTCTAGCGGCGTCCTTCATCCCCGGTCAGTTCTTCTCGATTCCTTTCTTCTTTCTTCATCTATTGGAATGTTTTCTCTCAGATTAAAGCCCCCATCATCTCCTTCTTTGATTTCCAGCGTAATTTGTTGTGTATGTTGACTTCTGAGTCCTGACTATGCTCTTTGCCCCCAAATGATGCAGTTAAATGTGAAGCTCGGCTTGAAGATGGAGCACTTGTATCAAAATCTGATGGAGTGGAGTTTAGGGTGAAAGAGGGTTAGCATTTACGTATTTGTTTATGTTTTCTCTTAAACTTGCTTGTGCTGATAATCTGATATTAGTGTTTGTTGTGAAATGGGTTACTTTTTTCGGCGTTTGCAAAGGCTATGAAAACCATGAAGAAGGGAGAGAAACAACACTCGTCGTCTTCGGGTGCTTCTCTAGCCCACAGGTTTTACGTTGTTCTGTCCTCCCCCCCCCCCCCAACAAAAAAAAAAGATTTTGTTTCGTTTCTTTTGCTCCCTCTTCTCCTCTCATCGTTGTTGTTGTTTTTCTTGTTGCAAGTGTTGTTCTGATTTGGGTGAGTAACGCCACTCATCGCAAGCTACAGAGTAGAATTCTGGGTTCTTGTGAGATTGCTCTTCTCTTTCCTACTTTTCCTTTCTAGTGTGACTTGAGAGATCTAGTTTTTGTGAAAAGAAAAAAACCACTAAATATAATATTTGAAATTGATTTTCATCATCCAAGAGCTGTGAGTACCCATCTATGCTTAATGGCTTTGGGTGAGCAGGGAAATGGGCAGAGGGGCGAATTGGCCTCGTGAAAGTCATAGTTGTTTCACAAAATAGGTGCCAGATGGTTATTACTACGCTTAGTTCAAGCTGTGGTAGATTGGGTTGAGATGTCAATGACAATGATTTAGGAAGATGGCAGTGAAGTTGATCGCATGTGTGAATAGGGGAGGTTTAGAAGGATATAGACCAAAACCAATCAGAAGCAGCAATGACAAAGGAAAAAGTTTAAAAAATGAGAGCACACCATCATACCTAAATGGTTCTTGGTTGCTTGAACCATTAGAGATTTAAGATTAGAGAGACAGGCATTGTTACCATAAAGCTTGGCTCTAACCCAGGGATAAAAGAGAGCTTTACAGAGAAAAGACAGGAGGCAAAATAGAGAATATTTTGAATATGAATTGTCTTACTCGTCCTTCAGCATGTATAACATTTAATACGAGAGAGAGACTAAATGTAAACTGGGTAATACGATAACACGGTTAATGATATTATGAGACACAACAAAAAGAAAATACCTGCAAAGAATAATTTTTAGGTTCTCCAAACACGGATGAAAATTTTGTAGAAAGCAGGGCTCTTTTGGATTACTCAAAATTGTATGAGGGTGTAGATGTAGTTAAACCAAGGGTGTAGATGTAGTTAAACCAAGTTATATGTGATTGCCTGAATTTCATTTGTTGCTACTGACAGGCAATAGGGTCAAGGTGTGTAACATTCCATTTTTTTTTTTAATCTTATTATAGGATTTAGATTATATAGGTGAGATTAATTCATAATATTTAATATTAAAGGTTATTGAATAAATTGTAAATCATAATTTCTGTTATATACATATAAATCATATATATAAAAATAATAATATTAATATATATATATATATATATAAAGGCAAGTGGGTGGCACGTGGGCCACCCACTGCCAGCGAGAGGAGGGGGGGTGTAAGCCCCCTTTTTGGGCCGTGGCCTCTTTTAATAAAAAAAAAAAATATTCATTTCAAGTGGGGGTGGTACACGTACCCCCACTTTCAGATGCTTCTCCCCCTCTCCTTTTCCGCTTCGCTGTTTTTCCTTTGGTCCGTGTCCTCGCAGCGCCGCGACAATGAGTGGGTGTGAGAGGTGGTTTGAGTGTGTGAGAAAGGAAGGGTTCTACTTGGGTACATATAAAATATCTATGTAAGTCATCTTCATCATAAAATTTTTTATTATTTAGCTTATTCTTTTATTTTCTAAGTTATGGCAGAATGAATATTTTTAGGGCTTGTTAGATTTTTAATTTTTAAGGCTTCTAATTTAGTATTAGGATATTAATAGAGCTTATGTGGTTAGAATAAGAGTCTTATGACTTAGATTTTAGTTGGATGGTTGATTTGAGACAATATAAGTTAGTGTTTGGTTGGGAAATGGTGATTAGTGTTAATGATGATATTAATTTCGAAATTTATCTCTTAGTTGAGTTGAGGTTATATTGAGGATTCAATGCTTAAACTTTGAGGATTGTTGTTGAAATAGTAATGTTAATGATTCTTGGAGAGACTTTAAGTAGTGGAAATTGGGTGTTTGGAGTAAATTGAGGAAAATATTATAAGTTATTGATTCTAATGAATGGGAAATGATAAATGGAAGAAGGGAATAGGATTGTAATAATGATTGGAGGCATAGATGGTACATGACTATTTTTCTAAGAGTTAAAATAAACACTTTTTGGAGACTTTTGGATGACTTAAAGGAAATATTCTTATTAATGATGTGAATGAGAGAAATAGAGTTGGGAAGTACTAGGAATTGTCACTTGGAAGAATAGATGAATTATTATTTTTTTTTTTCCTAAGGATAAATTTTTAGATAAGCCGATTATGGGGATTTAGTTAATAAACTATTTTAATGCTATATTAATTAGTCTTTTTATATTAATATATGTTTATCAATTTATTATTGTAGAGTGAGCTTGGTTTGGGCTCTTGGGTCTTGAATCCTCCTACTTTTAGTTCTTGTGTTAAGAACTTGAGGTAACCACTTTTTAATTTACCTTGTATGCTTGTTGATGTGATTATAAGCATGTGTTGATATTATAAATGTTCTCAATATGTGTTATGGTGGTTTCTGTATGAAAAGTAATTTATATATCTATATCAAGATTTAAGTTTTGATAAATTTATTAGTTAAGTGGGCATGAATTATTTCATCTTATGAATATCTTGTTGATGTTGAACAAATTTGATTATTGAATATGAGAATACTTTATGGATATGAAATTGTGTAGAATTGGATGGTTGGATTGAGCTGTATTGGTTGTGCTAAAATGTAGTTGTGGGAGGTCTGATTATTTATACCACGTGGTATAGCCGCCACTTGGCGCCCAGTGGTTGGCATTAACATTCTTAGGGCCCTCGGTATCACCCTTCCTTTGGCCGGGTCAAGGGTCAGCCCAAGGGACATGACACCTTTCCATATTCCAAGGAAAGGGAACCCATGGTCCGATATGAGCTCTGTAACTTTTGGCCGAGTTACACCTCATTATTGGAGAGCTTGGTGTAGTCTTGTAAAAGAGATGAATCCTGTTATGTGTGAATAGCCCATGGGTTCTGTCAGAGGTTACAAGGAGGTTATAAGGATGGTTGATGAAGTCCTATGCATGCAAGTTACTTTCTGAATTATTATATATTGTTTTCTGTAAAGATGTTTAACTTATATGTTATTTGAAATTGTACTTTGCCCGCTTAGCTATCTTGTAATCACTCCCTGGATACTTGTTGAATTGGAATTGTGGTTACTGGGTCAAGTTGACTTACCCCGTGATTATTTAACATTTTTCAGGCGAGGGTTCAGGTGTTGGTCCCAAGGGGAAGGTGTCCGAGGCTTGAGTTTTCCTTTCCACTCTGTATAGCCTCTATTTTGATATACATGTTTTGACTGATGTATATTGCCAAACTTTAGGGCCTTTTTGTTTTAGTTAACATTATCATAGCCTTTCCGCTGCATTCTAGACTTGTACTATTGGGCGGAGCCCTTTTTGGTCATATGTGATCGTTATTTTGATTGCAATTGATAATGGGCAGTAGTGGTAGTTATTTTGGTGGACTTCAATGTCCTAGCCCATTTACAATTGGTCTTAATTGTAGTTGAGATTCCAGAGTATTGCTGATGGATTTGATATATACATGGAAAATCAAATGTTGATCCTTTCTTATTTGATTAACTATCTTTATTATTCTAGAACAGTAGCTACTACTCTGTTAAAGATTTGGTTTGTTATTGACTATGGTAAATTTCTATTTGATTATGTTTATCCTTCCTACCATGGCTAGCCTTTTAAAGTAATTATCCTTTTAAAAATGTTTATTTGCCATGAATTACGGGGGTTGTAACAAGGTGCGTCTACTCATCATTTGTACAATTGTTTGCTTCATATTTCCCATGTAAAAAATGCTTCTCTTAGGTAGTTTTATGCTTGTGTTCTAAGTTTAAACATTTGTAAATTGTAAATAAAATTAGTGAGCACATCCTGGAGGAACTTCACTGTGATTGAGCTTCAGATGCAGCAATGAAGGGTATTATTGGACTATGTAGTGGTGCCCCTGGTAGTCTGTTCTATGCTTATGATAAGAACTCTATCTTTCAGGCTTTCACCCTCTTATGAGTGCATCCTTTTGTTTTCAGATTTAACTGCTAATCTATACTACTTTTGGATGTGATAATTCTAGGTCTCTGTTAATAATGAGGGTCGAGATGTGTGGAAAGTATATCTCGACATGGAAGAATATGCAGCTGCTTGGGACTGGAGGATTGGGCCCGATTGGAGGAGCCATATGGAATTACTCTTCCGGTCCTAATTATAAGACCCAATTGACTTATTTGAGGAGATTAAGGAAGTAAGTTAAGTTGGTTATATATAATAAATAAGTGTTGTTATTCCTAAAATATCCTTGCTAATTAAGTATATTGGCTAAAACTATCATTATTAGAAGGATTATCTTGGAAAAAAATACAAAAATATAAGAGAGAAAATGGATTGGGTCTTATAATTAGGACCAAATAAAAAGTCAAATTGGGTCTTATAATAAGGACCGGAGGAGTATATTCTTAATTATTGACTGTTCTTGATTCATCATTGCCTCAATGGCCAGCATATTCTTCACATATCCACTTTAAAGTCACGTCATTTTGGAAAATTATGGTATGTTAGATTGGTGTTATCTTCATTTAGTATGTTTTTATTTTATTTTCTTTTGTCTGCAAATTGGATGGATCTATGGCTTTGTTTTAGAAGATATCTTGACAGGGTTTAGGATGCATGGCAGAGGATGGAAATGAGTGAGCATTTGCTATTTGAGTTAATTAACTGGATGCTTCTCATTTTTATCTGATATTTCATTCTTATTGTGATTGAAGCTGTCTCAAAGATCAAGAAGGGTTGACGTGACTATTTGGAGGAAGGAGCATGGGATGTTATACATGCTATAGAGAGATAAACTCTCTTTGGAACTTTTGACAGTCCCTTTTTTTCTACCTTCATTTAATTTTATTTGTAATTGTGTGCATGATATTTTCTATTACTGTTCAGATTCAAATTTATTTACTAGTTAGTTTGCTAGATTCGTTCCCTAGTTTTCAGGGACTGTTTTCCTGCTCTGTATCAATTTGTTCCTTATTGAGAAAGTTGTACAAGTCTCATCATAACGGGACGCGTGTTTACTTTCTTGCTTAGTGAAAATAATTCTCAAACTTTTAAAGTGCAAATCCATATTTAAAAATAAATCTAAACATTTAAGAAATATTATGTGATATGTTCTGAATAAACTCATCATTGGTTTTGTGCATAAATATAATAAAATTAAAGGCATGTCAATATAAAGATATATAATACAATTTATTTAAAAAAAAAAAAAAAGTGAACCGCATGGGTCAATAACAGGCACAGGAGAAAGACATATATTCACTTTCTTATTTAGTAAAAATAACTCCTAAGCTTTTAAGACAGAACCATGATAGAGAAACACTTAAAATTATGAAAATAAGACATATTTGCTATATATGATATGTTCTAAATAAATTTATCATTAATTTTATACATTAACATAAAAAAGTAAATTAATAGTAAGCTAAAATATAAATAATTTAATTTATTTAAATGGGTGAAAATTGCACGGGTCTGAAAGTAGGCATTATAATGGGACATTACTTTCTCACTTAGTGAAAATAATTCATAAAATTTCAAACCACATATCCTTACTTAAAAAAACTTCAAACATTCTTAAAATGATAAATATTTGTTATATCTATTATGTTTTGAATAAATTGATTATTGATTTTATTTATAAATATAAAAATGAAATCAAGAGCAAGTGAATATATAAATAATATAATTTATTAAAAATAGATAAACACATTGATCCTAAAATAAACATCAAGGATATATGTTTACTTTTTCACTTAGTGAAAACAATTCCAAACTTTTTAAGCACAAAGACAAACTTAAAAAAAATTCTAAAAGTTCTTTAAATTAGAAATGCTTGTTAATATGAGATATGTTTTGAATAAATTCCTCATTAATTTCATGCATAAATATAAAAATGATATTAATAGAAATACAAGGAATAAATAGTTAAATTTTATTAAGAAATTAAAAACTGTAAAGAGCTAGCATCTCAAAAGGACATGTGTTCACTTAAAATCAATAAGAAGCCCGTATATAAATAATAAAATTTATTAAAAATATTGAAAACAGCATAGGTCCAAGAGGCATCAGAAAGGGATACATGTTCGTTTTCTCACTGACTAAAAACAATTCCTGAACATTTGAAACGCATGTTTTCTAATTAAAAATTTTTGTTTGAACATTCTTAAGATAAGAAATATTTGCTCTATATCATATATTTTACATAAATTCATTGTTGGTTTATACATGAATATGAAAATAAGATAAATAACGAGTCAAGATATAAATAATGTAATTTATTAAAAAAATTGAAAATACACAAATACAAGACCTGCTTGTATGTCCTGCGGAAGCAAATAATGTAAGGAGAATTAGATAGGAGGACCAATAGGGAGTGATATTTATAGAAGAGAATCATAAAAATTAAAATTATTTAAAAGTACCAGATATTCAAATATAAATTTAAAAATATCATATTGTCACTATCCAAACCCCTTACATTTTTTCCTATATTTCTTCCTATATTTTATTTTTAAAACTAATACGAATTAATAAGTTTTACTAAATTAAACTTGATGTTTTTTAAAGTTTACAACTTGCGTAAAAAGCAATTGAAAAAATATGCAAACATTGTTTTATGATGTAAAAATTAAAATTTTATTTTCTTCATAAGAAAATTAAAATTTTACTTTTAAAACCATAACAGATTTTAATTGAAAATAAAAGTTATATAATTTTATTAAAATTTATACTATTATATAATTTATTATATACACAGTTTCAAGAAATTGTAAAAAAAATCGTATAATTTATTTTTTATTTTATAAGAAATTTATATCAAATTTAAGAATAAAAAAAATTCATTTGATGATAAGAAATTTAAAGATTCAGATAATATCTTATAATTTTACAAGAACCCACCGCAAAATCATTTAACAAAAGCCGCCTAATTATATGATATATTAATATAAATAAAATAAAAAATATAAGAGGAAGTATATTTCACTTTAAAAAATTACAATAAGGGATATACCCTAAAAAATAATTTTTTAAAATAAAATAATTTTAAATATGTTAAATTTTCTACCTAGTATTTTAGTAATTAGTAGATTAAGATGTTAAAAAAGCATCATTCTCCACCCAAAAAAAACCTTATTATCATTTGTTTGTATTGTGATTTATTATAGGATTTATTTCTGGTTAAAACAAATTACAGGATTTATTGAAATTTTGTATTAACAATATTTTTGGATTACGATTAATAAAGGCAATTGTGGTTATAAATTTTACATAAAATTATAAAATATCATCTAAATTGTTTAAACTTCTTAACATTGCACGAATTTTTTTGTCTCTAAGTCTTATATAAATTTCTTGTAAAATAAAAAAGTTAAATTATTCAAATTTTCTTTGAATTTTTTAAAACTGTGTACATAATAAATTATGTAAAAATATAAATTTTAATAAAATTATATAAATTTTTATTTTTAATTGAAATTTGTGATCATTTTAAAAAGAAAATTTTTTATAAAGAAAATAAAACTTTAATTTTTACTTAACTAAACAATGTTTGCGTATTTTTTAGTTGATTTTTACGTAGGTTGTAAATTTTGATAGAAATTCATTATTAATTCATATTAGTTTTAAAATCAAAATGCAAGAAAAAATATGAGCTTTGGATAGAGACGATATGATATTTTTAAATTTATATTTGAATATTTGGTCCTTTAAAACAATTTTAATTTTGGAAAAATTACATATAGGTCCCACACAAGACAATTAATTCATAAAAGTCCCTAGAAATTCCAAAATGATTCCTAAGTCCCCAGGGACCTATGTGTAATAATTGAAATTATGAAATTACCTATTTACTCTCATTAATTTTATTGCAGTAATTTATTTACAAACTCAATAGTGGCTGTTGAGAACCCGAGGAGAAGTGGTTAACAACCTCGGCGGTGTCCCTGACAACTCACTCTGTGGGATACCAAGGGTACTACCGAGGTTGTTAACCACTTCTTCTCGGGTTGTCAACAGCCACTGTTGAGGTTGTAAATGAATGGGGGTAAATAGATAATTTCACAATTACAATTTATTACACACAGGTCCCTGGGGACTTGGGAGTTATTTTGGGATTTTGAGGGACTTTTTGTAAATTAATTGTCTTGTGTGGGACCTGAGTGTAATTTTCTCTTTAATTTTTATGATCATCTCCCACTTCTCATTAGTCCTTCTCTCTAATTCTCCCAATAATGTAATTTACACTATAATATTTATGTTAGTATGAGTTGCATATACAATGATCAGTTGTTTTTGTAGTCTTTTTGAATGACTAACAAACACATTTGTCTTAGTGGCAGTTTCACCTAAGAGGGGAGTGAATTAAGTGATATATAAAAAATTGACTTAATAAAATAAATAACCAATTAAAGCGATGGAGACAAGTTTCGAAAGATTTCACCGAGGATGAACAAACGAAGAACGACACATGAGATTATACTGGTTTGGTCTCAACCACTTGACCTACATCCAGTTCTCAGAGCGCCTCTGAGTTTTCCACTCACAATCAACAGGCTCTTAATGTCACAATACAACAATTGAGTCACTCTCAATCACTCCCTCTTACTTCTTGTAAAGTTACAAACCCCTCAAGAATCCTAGATTCTTAAGTTGCTCATTGAAGGTAGAAAACGATTTATGGATTCTCTCTCAAGAGTATCTGGGATAAACACTGAAGCTCAGGTACAAAAAAAACAAAGTAATGAATGTAGAGATTAATTTCGTCAGTTGGTAGCTCGATGTATTCACTACTTCATTCAATGCTCTTCGTGCAATTTATAGTTAGAGATCTTCAATTTTTGTTAGACACAAGAGCTTGTAGTCATTGGGATATCGTTTGCGTGTGCTCAATAGTTACAACAGTTGTTTGTAATAAATGCTTCTGACACAGGTAGCTTGAGCCTATAAAATGTATCCGTTGAGCATCATAACCTATAGGAAATGTCTCAATACAAAGATAAGTTTTCTTCTCAAGTGAATATGAGTGAATAACATAATAAATGATGATCCTTTGATTTAATACAGGAAATGGAAATCATAAAATCACAGATCAAATAATCAGAGAGTCAAATTATCGAAGTCCTGAATGATA